AAATGGACCGGTAGTGGCCATTTTGAATCAGACAATCATATGGTCTACTATGCCAGGAAAGACAAACTGAAGAGGAATGGTGTCACATTCATTGTCAAAAAGAACATTTCAAGATCTATCCTGAAGTACAACACTGTCAGTGATAGGATAATATCCATACACCCACAAAGAAGACCAGTTAATAAGACTATTATTCAAATTTATAAACCAATAACTAATGCCAAAGATGATGAAATTGAGGATATTTACCAACTTCTGCAGTCTGCAATTGATCAAACATGCAGTCAAGATGCATTGATAATTACTGGTGATTGCAATGCTCAAGCTGGAAACAAAGAAGAAAGATTGGTAGTTGGAAAATATGTCCTTGGTGATAGAAACGATGTGGGAGATCGCATGACAGAATTGTGTAAGACCAATGACTTCTTCATTGCAAAAACCTTTTTTCCACAACATAAATGGTGACTATGCAAATGGACGTCACCCAATGGAATACACAGGAATCAAATCAATCATATCTGTGGAAAGAGAATATGGAGAAGCTCAATATCATCAGATAGAACAAAGCCAGCGGCCGATGGTGGAACAGACAATCAATTGTTCATATGCAAATTCAAGTTAAAGCTAAAGAAAATTAAAACAAGTCCATGAGAGCCAAAGTAGACCTTGAGTATATCCCACTTGAATTTAGAGACCATCTCAAGAATAGATGTGACACATTAAACATTAATGACCAAGGACCAGACGAGCTGTGGAATGACACCAAGCACATTGACTTAGCCTGGGTTCTCTAGACAAGTAAAACCAGTAAAGCGTATAAATATACAGAGAGAGAGATTTATATCATAGAAACAGCTCACGTGATTGTAGAGGCTGGAATGGCCCAAGTCCATGGATTAGGATAGAGGCTTCTCCCAATTCACGTAGCCACAGGGGCTGGTGAACCCAAGATCGGCAGGTCAGAGAGCAGGGCTCTGCTCACTAGCTGTGAAAATCGATGAATCCCAAGACAGGCAGATAAGCTGATAGCTCAGGTTCCAAGGACCGGAGGTCAGATGAACAGGAGGCAGCCACAGGATCCAGAGTGAGCAAAAAGCCAGAACGTCTGCTAATATTTGGATGCAGGCCACACCCCCAAGGAAACTTTCTTTCAACTGATTGGCTGCTCACAGCATATTCAATCATGGGAGTGATCACATATAAACACTGAGAATTATGGCCCAGCCAAGTTGACACACAATCTTAATCATCATAGACATCATACATGAAGAAAGCAAAAGATCATTAAAAAGACAGGAAAGAAAGAAAAGACCAAAATGGATGTCAGAAGAGACTCTGAAACTTTTTCTGAACATACAGCAGCTGAAGTGAATAGAAGAAATGATGAAATAAAAGAGCTAAACATAAGATTTCAAAGCGCGGCTTGAGAAGACAAAGTAAACTATTATAATGAAATGTGCAAAGATCTGGAGACAGAAAACCAGAAAGGAAAAACATGCCCGGCATTTCTCACGCTGAAAGAACTGAAGAAAAAATTTAAGCTTTGGGATGCAATATTGAAGGATTCTATGGTCAAAATACGGAACAATGCAGAAAGCATCATAAGAAGATGGAAGGAATACAGAGAGTCACTGTACCAAAATGAAATGGTCAGTGTTCAACCATTTCAGAGGGTAGCATATGATCAAGAGCCGATGGTATTAAAGGAAGAAGTCCAAGCTGCACTGAAGGCATTGGCAAAAACTAAGCCTACAGGAACAGATGGAATACCAATTGAGATGTTTAAATAAATAGATGCAATGCTAAAAGTGTTCACTTGTCTATGCCAAGAAATTTGGAAGACAGCTACCTGGCCAACCGACTGGAAGAAATCCATATTTGTGCCCATTCCATAGAAAGGTGATCCAACAGAACGCAGAAATTATTGAACAATATCATTAATATCACACACAAGTAAAATTTTGCGGAAGATCATTCAAAAACGGTTGCAACAGTACAGTGACAAGGAACTGCCAGAAATTCAAGCTAGATTCAGAAGATGACATTGAATGAGGGCTATCATTGCTGATGTCAGATGGATCCGGGCTGAAAGTATAGAATACCAGAAAGATGTTTGCCTATGTTTTATTTACTATGAAAAAGCATTTGACTGTGTGAATCATAACAAATTATGGTTAACGTTGCGAAGATTGGGAATTCCAGAACACTTAATTGTGCTCATGTGGAACCTGTACATACACCAAGAGGCAGTCATTCAAATAGAACAAGGGGAAACTGCATGGTTTAAAATTAGGAATGGTGTGTCTCAGGGTTGTATCCTTTCACCATACTTATTCAATCTTTATGCTGAGCAAATAATCCAAGAAGCTGGACCATATAAGAAGAATGTGACATCAGAATTGGAGGAAGACTCATTAACAACCTGTGATATGCAGATGATACAACATTGCTTGCTGAAAGTGAAGAGGACTTGAAGCACTTACTGGTGAAGATCAAAGACTACAGCCTTCAGTATGGATTATACCTCAACATAAAGAAAACAAAAATCCTCACAAATGGATCAACAAGCAACATCATGATAAACATCATGATATTGAAGTCATCAAGGATTTCATTTTACTTGGATCCACAATCAACACTGATGGAAGCAGCAGTCAAGAGATCAAACGGCAAATTGCATTGGGCAAATCTGCTGCAACAGATCTCTTTAAAGTGTTAAAAAAGCCAAGGCGTCACTTTGAAGACAAAGGTGCCCCTGATCCAAGCCATGGTTTTTTCAATCGCCTCATATGCATGCAAAAGCTGGATCATCAATAAGAAGACTGAAGAAGAACTGATGCATTTGAATTATGGTGTTGGCTAAGAATATTGAATATACCATGGACTGCAAGAGGAATGAACAAATCTGTCTTGGAAGAAGTACAGCCAGAATGCTCCTTAGAAGTAAGGATGGTGAGAGACTTCATCTCATGTACTTTGTACATGTTATCAGGAGGGACTAGTACCTGGAGAAGGACATCATGCTTGGTAAAGTACAGAGTTAGTGAAAAAGAGGAAGACCTTCAACGATATGGATTTACACAGTGGCTACAACAATGGGCTCAAACATAGCAATGACTTTGAGGATGGCACAGGACCAGGCAGTGTTTTGTTCTGTTGTACACAGGATCACATCTGAGTCAGAACTGCCTCGATGGCACCTAACAACAGCAACAACAACAAAGTAACAGCACATAAAATAGTGGCATAGTTCCTGGCGTGTCCAAGGCACTCGATTTGTTCCCTCCCACAAACATGAAATTAATAAATTGGGAATTTATCTACCCTTCTAATCAGAGGTCTAGGCAAGAAATAGCCTTTTCACAAATGACTATGTATTTGTCTTTCCATGTAAACGTTGAATAGTTCACACAAAGGAAGCAAGTTCAACAAAAGCTTTATTTTTTCCTTGGTCTAAATTAGGCGAAGAATTTAAGTTTTTAGAAACTTAAAAATGAAAGTTTAAACAGACACAAAATTCATTATGTTTATCACTATTTTTCCTTACAACAGTAATACATGCCGTATTTTCAAATGAACAACAGCAGATCACATGCTGACATTTGACCTAGAAGGAGAACCATAAATGAGACATTTCATACAACAGAGAAGTAAGGGATTTTGCTCAGTTTTAATGCTGTTGTTGTTGACGGCCATCGAGTCAGCCCCCGACTCATGGCGGCCCCATGCACAACAGATTGAAACACTAGCCAGACCTGTACCATCCCCACGATCAGACCATTATGGTCCATAGAGTTTTTACTGGCTGATTTTTCAGAAGTAGATCTCCAGGCCTTTCTTCCTAGTCTGTCCTAGTCTGTCCTAGTCTGGAAGCTCTGCTGAAAGCTGTTCCCCATTGTTGCAACCTGCAAGCTTCCACGGACAGCAGTGAGGATCTTCCTCCTTCCCATGTTGTCTCATATGGAATGACTCCATAGGAAAAAATGGCAGATCATAAGGCTAACAAGTTGGTGGCAGATAGGTCATCAAGCCCATCTCTGTAAATCAGATTTGTCAACAGGTAAACAGAGCACGACCCTTCTAGGTAAGCTAGTGGAGCAGTGACCTGTGGCAGCCACGTCCCCAAACTATAGGAGTGGAGGAGGCTAAAATGTCAGGTCGTCGAGGATGCAGAGGGGAGCATTCACTAGAGCCGCCCACCAGTATGAGTAAGTGCTCCTGGGGACAATATGTGCTTCAAGGGCAGAAAGCGCATATCCAGATGTTATGAGCTGCCAGATGTGATTAACTGAGGAAAGGTGAAGCTGCCCACTTAACCATCTGAGCAGCCCCAATCAGCAAAGTGACCCAAGAGTTTTCTGCAAAAGCATTAATCAACAAAACAAATGGCGGCTCCATCATCTCCCAGACCCACCCCTTTTCCTCTCTCCCTCTGATAGAGTCAGAACAGCCGGCCTATTTTTAAACCACCGGCAATGTATTCTCTCGTGGAAACGTGTGGGCTTCCTGACACAGCTGATGCTCACTCAGAGCATCACAAGCATGCTGAAGACTTCGCCCACTCGCTCGTCCCTCCTCTCCCACGAGAATGGGGCAGAGGGGGCGCTGGGAAGAGAGGCCCAAGAGCGAGCCTGCTCCCAGTGCAGAGGAGGAGGGAGTATCTAGTGCTGGTTTCCGTGACAGGGATAACTGCAGGCTTCCCTCCTTGGTGAAAGGGAAAGCTGAGGCTTGGGCAAAAACAGCCCCGCATACAGATACCAAGAGAGAACACAGGCCTGAGAAGAAGAAAAACAACCCCCAGATGCCAATTACAGATCTTCTAAAGAAAAAGAATTGAAATGGATCTCAGGCTCTCTTTAACATGCATCTAATATGCTTCAAATATAATAGTAAAAACTTTATTAAACATTGGAGACTTTTTTTTTTTAGCAAGGTCACAATGAGGCCAATTGAAAAAAAAAAAAAGGACTTTTCAAGAAAGGAGGTTACTCTGTACTCACAATCGCTCCAGCTGCTTCAGATCCTGGAAGGCGCCTCTCTCTATGACACTGACCTGGTTGTCTTCCAGATGCCTAGAACCACAAAGGCAGCAACAATCAAGGACAAAATTAGCTCAGGGGTCCTCACGCTAGGCTTCAGGCCATGCAGGCAGGGTCACTCGACCCCTCCCGCCACCCTCAGGGCCCCTACGGCCGGGACCAGGCTGGTGGGACAAGATAACTCACATCCCAGCTTGGAGTCACGGTAACCAGGGTTTCACCGCCTGCACACTTCTACCTGACAGATTGGTTTCCATGCCTCTATTTTAAGAATGTTCTCAGCAAATGTCCCCCCAAGCACTGCAGGGTGTTGCACAGAAAAGGAAGAGGTAAAAGCTGCTGCTTATAAAAACAACACAATATATACTCAGCCTCTCTTCCCTCGGAACACCCTCCTCCAAGAATTCAAAAATACTTCACAGGAAAGGGCCTTCCCTGCTCTCCCTGCCGCTGGGTCACCCTCTGAGTGGAAAGCGCAAAGCTACTGTTGGACAATTGCCTGTGGCAAGAAAACCAGCCTGGGCCCTGGAACTCCCCTCGTCCAGGGTCTGGCTGCTCCCTGCATAAGGACAGCGGTCACAAAAGCTAGGTCTCTGTACCCCGAGCCATGGATTTGTTGACCCCCCCAAACTCCTCCAAGCAGGTGATTAGAAAACCTGAACACTCTGCTTATGTGAGTTTGATTCATGCACGTGGCATAGCTTAAGAATTCAACATACAATGAAACATTTGTTTCCTTAACTTAAAAAAATTAAAAGGTAGCTTAAAATGGATTAGCTGAACAGTAGGAAAGGGAAGCAATGAAACTGCATAGTTTCCATTCAGGGCTGACTCTGGGCTGGGGCAAGATACTGATTCTACTTGGTGGGAGAGTGGAATTCAGGGGGATGCAGTGGTGAATTAAGAGTGTTTCTTTGGAAGGTAGAGGTTGGGAAGGGCTGTGGGTTTCTCTAGATCAGGCAGAAGGAAAGGTCTCCTGAAGCACCTGAAGGAAAAGCAGGAAAGGAAGAGTAGTCTTGGGAACACAGGTCTTCATTTCAAAAGGAAACTTTCCAAGACACTCCTTCACCTTTCAGACACTCATAACCCCCTGCACTTCTTAGGTATAACACTTGGGCCCTTGTGATTAATTTTCAAGTCCATCTCAGATCCACTATGCCTCAGGACCAAGAGGGTAGGAACTTGTGCATCACCATACTCCCAGCCCTAACCTAGCTGCCTAGCACAGCAGCCACTTAATAGATGCTTACTTGAAGAACAAAAAACTAAAAAGGACACTGGGTCAAAGCCCAGGAAAGGTTAGTCTAGGACCCATTAAGTTTCTAGACTTGGTCTAGAAGAGCTGGAAGGGGTATTTTGTATTTCAATTTTTTTTTTAATTCACTAAAAAACCAGTTGCTATCAAGTCAATTCCGACTTCATGGTGACTCCATATATGTCAAAGTAGAAGTGTGTTCCACAGGGTTTTCAATGGCTGATTTTTTGGAAGTAGATTGCCAATCCTTTCTTTGGAGGTGCCTTTGTGAGGACTCGAACCACCAACCTTTCAGTTATCAGCCAAAAGGGACTCCTTGAATTCATTACCAACACTTAAAAATCGTAATATTACACGTGCACACAGAAACACAAACACACACACACCACAAGAGATGCTCCTTTTGAAAAATCAGTTCTCACATTCCCAAATATCAACAACTGGCTGGAACTGAGTATTGTCGCTATGGTCAGCTAGGGTACACGGGCTCCCCAGTTCACCAGGATCCTCGTCCACTCTAACTCTTCACACTTTTATGTTACTTCTGTTCTCTCACAGATGCCTCACTTAACAGATATCGAAACAACTGAGCTGAGAGGGTAAGAGACTTGACCAAGGAGAAGTTATTTCTATTAAGTCACACAGCTAGTAGGGGTGGACCTCTCCCTCCTGGATTGGTGTGCTTTCCAGATTTGGCTTGGAATCCCTATCCTACTTTCTTACTAACTGGTAGTATGATATTGGGCTAGCTGGTCAAGCCCTCGGAGACTGTTTTCCCATTTGTAAAATGAAGAAAATAAAACACCTCATAAGCTCTGGTGAGAATTAAAAAGGAATAAAGGATGTAAATCATCTACCCCAGGATCTGGAGTACAATTAGAGGTTTAATAAATGCTCATTCCCTTCCCTTCTCTTCCTTTTCTGTTTGGACATATGGCAAGGAGGGCCTCAGTATGCTAATAGACTCATACTAACACATCTTGCTAAACAGTGAACCAGTCTGAAATTAATAAGTGGGGGTTTGTTCAGTTGAGTTTTTCACTATCAATCAATCAATCACAGAGCTTGTTTGTCGTTATTTCCCAATTTTTACAAGGACCAACTCTAAGGCACTGATGTCACATTCCTTCTGAGTTTCTAGAGGAGCCTCTCTCCAACCTCCTAAGATAAATCTCTTTGTTTTTTATTAACTGATCTAATCTTGCTAGCTTCTTTCAGAAAGATGAGTAGAAGAAATGCAAATGTGAAGGGCTGATATCTGTATCTACATCTGCCCCTTCTCCATCGTTCTCAGACCCTGGGAGGCTGACCTTTATGGCTGTATCAAGAAGCTAGAGTCACTGGGTAGTGCAAACGGTTAATGTGCTCACTGCTAACCAAAACGTGGGAGGATCGATTCACCCAGAGGCGCCTTAGAAGAAAAGCCTGGTGATCTACTTCTAAAAAATTAGCCATTAAAAACCCTATGGAGCACAGTTCTACTCTGACACACACAGGGTCACCATGAGTCAGAGTCCACTCGACTTCTGGATCCTGTTGGATTCAGCCAGTGGGAGTCACCAGCAGGGTGAAAAGAGAGTGAGGGTGTGGGATTTCTTCCCTGGCTCCTTCTCTGCCAAGTCACTTCAGGTTGACTGTATCCCTCTACTTAAGGCCACAGGTTCTATCAGGTAGCCCCTACTTTGCTGGGCTCTGTAACCACTTCCTCCTGCTACTCCTTCAGGCCCAGGGGTAACAGTGGCTTTCCAATGTGGCTAGCCCCAGGGAACTACACCATGGCTTCTTGGTTTCTTTTCTTAAAATAAGATTTTATTGTGTTTTAGGTGAAAGTTCACACACTAAATTAGGTTCCCCTTTAACAATTTTTATACAAATTGTTCCATGCCATTGGTTATAATTTTTACAGTCTGTCAGCATTCTCATTATTTCCATTCTGTTTGTTCTGTTTCCATTGGTTTAGCTTCCCTTCCCCTCCTTGCCTTCTCATTTTTGCCTTTGGGTTAAATGTTGACTGTTTGCTCTCATATAGTTAATTGTTTAAGGGAGCACATTATTCACAGGTGATATTGTTTATTTTATAAGCCAATCTATCATTTGGCTAAAAGGTGATCTGCAGAAATAGCTTCAATTCCAAGTTCAAAGGGTATCTTAGGGCGCTAGTCTCTGGGGTTTCTCTAGCTCTATTGGTCCAGTAAGTAAGGCCTTTTTTAGGAATTTGAGTTTTGTTCTACTTTTTCTCCCATTCTATCTAGGATCTTCTATTGCACCCCTGATCAGAACAGTTGGTAGTGGTAGCCAGGCACCATCTAGGTTTTCTGGTCTCAGGTTAGAAGAGGCTGTGGTTCATGTGGGCTATTAGTCCTATGGACTAGTTTCTTCTTTGAGTCTGTGATTTCTTTCATTCTCTTCTGTTCCATATGAGTAAAGATCAATCGTTGTATCTTAGGTGGTAGCTCACAAGCTTTTAAGACCCCAGATGCTACTCAGCAAACTAGAACATAATTTTTGTGAACTATGTAATGCCAGTTGACTAAGCTGTCCCCTGAGGGCTTCTTGGTTTCTTAATCCTGCCCACACATTTGTAAAGAACTTCTTTATGTAGTTCTCTTCATTTTCCCCATGTGAGTGCCATCTTTTCCTGCTGGGACCCTGACTGATAAGGTATGTAGGGCTCCTCCAGATCTATCTTCTAGATCTATCAGAGCCCAGCTTAATATCTGGCACTTAAATGCTTGATAAATAATCAATATTTGATGAACAAGTGAATCAATGAATGAAGGAGCTAATAATCTATGCAGACTTCTAGGCTGAGACACAAGTTATAAGCATGCTCTAAAGCCATTGATTTCATACCTTCATTTTACTGACCAGATGCAGGAGGACAGGGGAACCAGGGGACCCAGGGAGAGCTAGACACCCAGAAGGGCTGTCCATGCCTTGAGTCTGTTCTGAATTAGAGTGGCACAGACTGTGTTCATTTTCAGCTATTTTGGCATCGTTATTTTATTTTATATGTATTTTTTAGTTTAAATACTGGATCAGAATCGGAAATTGCCCCATGTGATGATGGCTGGGGCGGAGTTTAACTCCTTTATTAACCTCATTTGGGATAAAGCTGGCTCCCACATTGTGGGCATAGCAGAGTTCTTGCAACAGACGACTAAGAAAGGGAATATAATTGATACCACCAGAAGAGACCTTTTCCTACACCCACCCTGTGGGAGGAAGAATTATTAAGGGTAATTCTTATATCTTCTCCTTGAATGCACTTCATTTGGGGAAAATTGCCTTGGGATGAGACTGAAGATCCCCAATCCATTTTATCTGATTTTGCCTATTCAGGTTACCTGCACGGTATTAACAGTTTTGCATGGAAATCGGTGGCAAGCTCAAATTATTCAAGACGACTGAGTCTTTTCTAGCTTCACTGTGGACTATAAATAAGAAACAGATACCAGGAATGTGCCAAGGTGTAATGGAAGCTTTTCAAAAAAGATAGTTGTCTAGGTTACTCAGCTAAAAAGAATAGATGGAGGGGAAATACAGGTAAAACGTCTGGATATTATATTGGTATTAGTTAGAAAGCATTTCAGCTATCCTACCTAGCAGATTCTTCCATGGTTAATAAAAGGCCACTTGAATGGGATTGTCTTTGAGTTGATGAGGAAGATAATGAAACATGGGATATTAACAGAGCCTATAAAGTAGGGGCAGGAGGAGGCTTTCTGACATTGCTTATCAAAAAAAGAAGAATGAACCAATTAACCAAAAAGATAAACTTTAGTCACAGGAATGCTGTCAACCATCCAGAGGATATTAATACAATCTTTTGTGATTATTTTAAACATTCTATTTACTGAGAGCAGATATGGAAATTGGGGTTTTTATTAGCCTTTCTGATGTAACAGTAAGAAAATCAAAGGGTTATTTTTGACTTTGTTCAAAAATGAAACATTAGGTGAAATTTCTGACTTGTGAGAGAGAAAATCTCTTACAGATGCAGGAAGAGGAAAAAGTAAAGAAAAGAGAGAAGCCAAACGTCTATTTTTTAAATTGGCAAATTACCTGGGATCAGGAGATTATTGCCTATGTCTCTTCAATAAAAATCATCCGAAAACTGAACCACAGAATTCCCCCACCCCTGACCCCAACCCCAACTCTAACCCACACACATCCTGGTTAGGGCCGTTGGTCATTTGGCAGAGGAATGACTGCTTAGGACAAAAGACAGACATGGCATAGGGTATGTATGGTCTCCCTCCTAGGATGGCGAGTTCTCCAGAGAGGACTGGAGAGCACGTCAGTGGGGAAAACGTCTGTAACCTGTGGGCCCATCATAGGTTCTAATTCCACTTCTTCTGTCACCTTCTATGTGGAGCTGGAACTACTTAGCTGTCTTAACTTGCTAGTGCTGTTGCAACACAAATACCACAAGTGGGCGGCTTTAAAGAACAGAATTTCATTTTCTCACAGTTCTGGAGGCTAAAAGTCAAACTGGGGTCTTGGCCGTGCTGACTCCTTCCTTGTTCGTAGCCAGGGACATTCCTTGGTCCCTTGGGGTTCCTTGGCTTGTAGCTGATGCTCACATGGCAGCTGTCTTCCTCCATGTATGTGTCTCTGTGTCTAATCTACGCTTTTTATAACTCAGAAGTGATTAGGTTTAGGACCTACCCCCACCCCCCACACTGGTATGGTCTCATTAACATAAGAAAATAAAAACCCTACTTCCAAAAAGAATCGCATCCACAGGTACAAGGGCCAGGAATTCAACACATATTTTGGGGGGGGATACAATTTAATCCATAACATTAACCTATCTGTGCTTGTTTCCTCTGTTGTAAAAAGGCATTGATAATAGCACCTACCTCAGAGACAGCCCAGGACTACGTAGCATAGAGCTTGGTCTATGGTAAATACCATGTGTATGTTGGTTATCATCATCATCATTGCTACTACTGCTTCTCAATCAGGAAAACAATGTTATAACAGTAATACTTCACAGATTGTAGTGAAGATAAACAAAGACTATTCATGAAAATATTAAAACCATAAAGCACTATATGTGTAACTATGAAAGTTATAAAACCAAACCCTTTGCCATCAAGTTGATTCTGACTCAGCAATGAAAGTTACAAGGGACTTACAACTATTCATTATCTGTTTTACAGATGAGAAAACTGAGGTCCAAAGAGATACAGTGATTTGCCTAAAGTCACACAGGCATTTAATTCTGAGTCAAGACAAGAACCCAGTACTTCCTGTCCCTAGCATAAAATTCATTCTATTATAAAAGGGTATTGGTAAGAAGAAGGTGGTGGCTTCAGATACTAAGACTTCAGCTGCTAAAGGTTTATCAACCAAAATTCCACAGATACAATAAGAAAAAAGCAGTCACCAAATTGGCTAGGTTGTCTTCCAGGTCTGAAGCCATAATTATCAACCTCTGGGTCAAGAAGGAAAAAGGATCCAGTTGCTCCTCTTTTGTATCTCTGAACGTCTTAGACTTCCCAGTGGACAAGTACTTGGGCAGCTTCTTATCACTCACAGACTTAAGGATGGGTGAGAGTGTTCAATACTTAGCGATGAAACCTGATATTCCTTGCTCCCCCCTTCTACCAACTCCCATCTCAAAATTTTGCTACCTGTCTGCACAGCTGTGGGTGTTCAGCAAGGGCTCTGACCCTGTCTGATTTTCTCTCTCTCTCTTCCCGTTCTCTCCATTGAGTAACAAGATAAATAACTTCTGTTCTGATTGCCCCTTCAATGCACAGGCTGGAGAAGAAATTATAATCTCTGTGGAAGGGAAGCATGGTTAGTCAACCTGACATTGCTGTCATCCTGGAAGCTGGGCATGTTGATTTAATCATTTACAGCCTTCTCTTTTCCCTGTCACTGGAACTGACTTCTTCTATCGGTCTAGCTCTCCAGCTAGCAGCAGAGAGACACAGGATGAGACATCTGTGAGCGCCTGGGTACACTAATGAAGGGCCTTCTGCTGCAGAGTGGTGAATCCCTGTTGCCCAGGGCTTGGGGGTGTGACATCAGGGCAGTGCAACATTTTCACAAGGCTGAGGAGCTGAAAATGAAAATGCACTGGAGAGCCATCTGCTACTTACAAGACACGAAGATTCCTGAGCCCAGCGAAGTCCATCTTGGTGATCCTGGTGATATTATTTCTGTCCAGGTCGCTGCAATGGAGAACAAATTAGGGTCAGACTGTTGCAGGTTAGACTTATGGTCTATTCAACCCAGACTGGCTTGGACGGGAGGGATGTCACTTGTCAGGATTTTGCAGGTTAGACTTACGGTCTATTCAACGCAGACTGGCTTGGACTGGAGGAAAGGCAATTCCAGTGATTAATGATATCCCCTGAGCATGCCCAACTAACCTTAAGGACATTGTATGGAATAAGCTTTTCATTCTGTATGTAGTAGAGCTCTGTTTTATTTAACTGCCTGGCTTCTGTTCCCCTTTTTCGGGTAACAGATTTTCCGTTGGGAGGCCCCTGCCTCCCCTACGCAAACTCTCAGATTACATAGTACAACTGGGGCTGACCCCTCTTCCCAGCTCCAGGGATGGGCACCTCATACAGTAAATAAGCAATAAGCAGCTTCCATCCCTCTGATTGATTCAGAAATGGATACATGACTCAAATTCCCAATAGCTCTCCTTCTACTGGGGTTGCTAAGCTCTTAAGTGTTGCCAGATCATCTGGCTACCATGGATAGAAGCTTACATGAGAAGAAAGCCAACACACTGGAAGCCTGAGCCAACAGAAGAAAAAAAATGAGAATGACTGCTGATGATATTGTATGAGATCTAGATCCACCCATGCCTGGATCCAGATACCTCTGGACTTCAAGGTTACATGAACCAATCTATCCCATCTCTCTTCTATTTTGGCTTAAACCACTTTGAGATGAATTTTCTACTCACTTGAAACCCAAAGAATCATGACTGATTTTTATACCTAGCTAAGTGCTTGTCTATTTTCCAATTAGATGCCAGATTCCCTAAGGGCAAACACCATATCACAATGAACTAAATAGCCCAACACAGTAGTATGGTATATACCTGGCACATAGTGCAGGTAATTTTTCTAATCTCAAGCGTTAGGTAAGGACATCTGCAGGGCTTATTCCTGCCTGAAGCTGTAGGGTTATGCTCCTGAAAATGGCTCCAGAGAGAATTTGCCATTGAAGAACTTAAAGACTTACGGTTGTATTGGGGTCGTGGGGGTGAGGGGGCACAGCTGGTGGTGGAAAACCAGGCTTAGGACATACTGAAGTCAGGAATGAACCTGTAAACAACTGTATAAATATTCTGTGTTCACTAAAATTATCTAAGAAGACCGGATGCAAAAAAAAAAAAAAAAAGACCATGAATAGTATTTACAATTCTTAATAATGGATACGTGTCTTTCAGTTTGTCATGGTGGCTTCCATGTTGTTGTGATACTGGAAGCTTCGCCACTGGTATTTCAAATACTAGCAGGGTCACCTTTGGTGAACAGGTTTCAGCTGAGCTTCCAGACTAAAACAGACTAGGAAGAAGGACCTGCAGTCTACTTCTGAAAAAAATTGGCCAGTGAAAACCTTATGAACAGCAGTGGAACGCTGTCTGATACAGTGCCAGAAGATGAGTCCCTCAAGTTGGAAGGCACTCAAAATACAACTGAGGAAGAGCTGCCTCCTCAAAGTAGAGTCAATCTTAATGATGTGGATGGAGTCCAGCTTTCAAGGCCTTCATGATGTGGCACAACTCAAAATAAGAAGAAACAGCTGTAAACATGCGTTAATAATTAGAACGTGGAATGTACAAAGTATGAATCTAGGAAAATTGGAAATCGTCAAAAATGAATTGGAACACTTGAAGATTGATATTCTAGGCATTAGTAAGCTGGAATGGACAGGTAATGGCCATTTTGAATCAGAAAATCATATGGCCTACTATGCCAGGAATGACAAATTGAAGAGGAATGGCATCACGTTCGTCATCAAAAAGAACATTTCGAGATCTATCATGAAGTACAATGCTGTCAGTGATAGGATAATATCCATATACCTACAAGGAAGACCAGTTAATACAACTACTATTCAAATATTTATCCACCAACCACTAAGGCCAAAGATGAGGAAACTGAAGAATTTTACCAATTTCTGCAGTCTGAAATTGATCAAACATGCAATCAAGATGCATTGATAATTACCGGTGATTGGAATGTGGAAGTTGGAAACAACCTGTGTTATACACATGACACAACCTTGTTTATCAATATCATGATAAACATCATGATATTGAAGTTGTCAAGGATTTCATTTTACTTGGATCCACAATTAACACCCATGGAAGCAGCAGTCAAGAAATCAAACGATGCACTGCACCGGGCAAATCTGCTGCAAAAGACCTCTTTAAACGGTTAAAAAGCAAAGACATCACTTTAAGGACTAAGGTGCAACTGACCCAAGCCATGGTGTTTTCATTTACCTGATATGCATGCGAAAGTTGGACAATGAATAAAGAAGATCAAAGAAGAATTGATGCTTTTGAATTATAGTGTTGGCGAAGCATAGTGAATATACCATGGACCGTCAGAAGAATGAACAAATCTGTCTTGGAAGACGTACAGCCAGAATGTTCCGTAGAAGCAAGGATTGTAAGACTTCATCTCACATACTTGGACATGTTATCTGGAGGGACAAGTCCCTGGAGAAGGACATCATACTTGGTAAAGGGTCAGTGAAAAAGAGGAAGACCCTCAACAAGATGGATTGACACAGTGGCTGCAACAATGGGTTCAAGCATAACATTGTGAGGATAGCACAGAACTGGGCAGTGGTTCATTCTGTTGTACATAGGGTAACTATAAGTCGGAACTGACTAGACGGCACCTAACAAGAACAACAATAATAATAGATACCAAACAATTAATTTCCATTTCCCATACCTTCCTGTCATGGATTGAATTGTGTCCCCTAAAAATATATGTATCAGTTTGGCTAGGCCATCATCCCAGTATTGTGTGACTGTCCACCATTTTGTCATCTGATGTGATTTTCCTATGTGTTGTAAATCCTACCTCTATGATGTTAATGAGATGGGATAGGCAGCAGTTATGTTAATGAGGCAGAACTCAATCTACAAGATTGGATTGTGTAGTTGAGTCAATCTCTTTTGAGATATAAAAGAGAGAAGTGAGCAGAGAGACAGGAGGACCTCATACTACCAAGAAAGCAGCACCAGGAGCAGAGCAGGTCCTTTGAACCCAGGGTCCCTGTGCTGAGAAGCTCCTAGACCAGGGTAAGATTGATGACAAGGACCTTCCTCGAGAGCCAACAGAGAGAGAAAGCCTTCTTCTGGAGGTGATGCCCTAGATTATACTAGTAGCCGACTAGATTTTGAGAGAATAAATTTCTCTTTGTTAAAGCCATCCACTTGTGGTATTTCTGTTATAGCAGCACTAGATGACTAAGACACTTCCTTATGAAAAACTTTTCAGGATTTTGGCCCTTGGAGTTTCAACAAGGTGTCTATAAATTGGCTTTGAATTCTGTCTTGGTTATTTAGTGCTGCTATATCAGCTCCAGAGGAAGGCTTTCTCTCTCTTTTGGCTCTGGAGGAAGGTCTTTGTCATTAATCTTTCCCTGATCGAGGAGCTTCTCAGCGCAGGGACTCTGGGTCCAAAGGACATGCTCTGTTCCTGGTGCTGGTCTCTTGGTGGTATGAGGTCCCCATGTCTCTCTGCTCACTTCTCTCTTTTATATCTCAAAAGAGATTGGCTTAAGACACTAATCTTGTAGAGCTCATCAATATAACTGCCACTAATCCATCTCATTACATCATAGTGATAGGATTTACAACACATAGGGAAATCACATCAGAAGGCAAAACGATAGACAATCATACAATACTGGGAATTGTGACCTAGCCAAGTTGACAGATATTTTTGGGGGACACAATTCAATCCATGATAGTTTCCTACAGAACATTTAGATACCAAGGGGTCATTTTCCCAGTGATGGATTCCCATCTAAAGGTTAATTACTTCTTGGTTTTCCTAGTCAGGTCCTAAAGCAGCCATCCTGCAATCATGCCTCAGAAAAACCTGTGAGTTATACAGGTGAATAGAAAGAACAGGAAAATAATATTCAGATTCTAGCATTTTATGTGAGGAAAATCAAGTTTGAGTAGGGATTATTATCCTGATATTGGAAATCATACTGAAATAAAAATCAAGGGAGTCCTTTCCTAACCTTACCTGGGTACCCACCTCCCTTCCTCATCCAGTTTTCCACTACCTAAAACAGCAATTGCTGTTGGCATTGGTGGTTCAGTGGTAGAATTCTTGCCTTCCATGTGGGAGACTCAGGTTTGATCCCCAGCCAATAAACCTCATAAGCAGCCACCACCAGTCCATCAGTGGAGGCTTACATGTTGTTATGATGCTGAACAGGTTTCAGCAGAGCTTCCAGGCTAAGATGGACTAGGAAGAAAGATCTGGCGATCTACTTCTGAAAATCAGTCAGTGAAAACACTATGGATCACAACAGTCCAATTCACAACCGATCATGTAAATGGTGCAGGACTGGGCAGGATTTTGTTCCGCTGTACATGAGGTCACCATGAGTCAGGGACTGACTCCACAGCAGCTAACAACAAAAAAATAGCAATAAAAGTTGTTTCTTAACTAGCCTGTGATGGAGAAAGGCAGTATTTCGAATTCTAAAGCTAAGTTGAGTGCTGGTAAAGGCAGAGCAAGAGTTACACAGGCAGATAAATGGAAAGCATACTCATGCAAGGGTTAGAAACCAGCACACAGACAGAAATCTGAGTGCTCATAATTACGAGTATTCTTCTAACCTCCCGTCTGCATTGGGATGGACGTTTGGGGACCTTGACAACTGTGAATATGACAATGCAACCACAAGTTTAATTACCAGGACACAGCATGGTATCTCGGCGGTTTGTGCTAGTGGCTGCAGCAACAATGTTTTCAATTAATACTTATTATGTGAAGGGGCAGAGTGTGCTGCTAAAATGCTAAGGACTTGGGGGGAGGGGCTGTGGGGGTGGCCTCAGCACAGAGTCAGTGTTCGGAAGCCTGAGTTGTCTGAGGCAAGCAGTCCTGATTGAATCCCAGCCCTGCCCACTACTGAATGACCTAAGAGCGTTTACTTCATCTCGGAG